GAAACGTTTCTCCTTTAGCATCTTATCTATAAGGGGTTGGGACTCGCACGACAAGTTCTCCTCTTTAGCCATGTCTACTCTGCATGGCCAAGTGGTTAGGGCGCTCGACTCGCAATCTGAGGGTCGCTGGTTCGAATCCCAGTCCCACCAAAACATGCTCGCCCTTTCAGCCGTTATAATGTGACGGTCAATGCCACTATTCGTTGGTAAAAGAGTAGTCCAAGAGTTGGCGGTGGGTGGTGATGACTAGCTGCCTTCCATCTAGTATTACACTGCTAAGTTAGGGACGGCTAGCGCAGATAGCCCTCGTGTAGCTTTGCGCGAATTTAAAAACAAACATCCTTATTAGCTTATTTAATCTCTTTTGTCAATTTTATTTTTATAACTTTAACAACATAAAACAATACTGCAAAGTAGAACACGTTTAGTGGCGTACACTATGGTACGTAGTTTCGATCAAAGATCAGACGTACTGAAAACCTAGAGGTTGTTGTCACGAATAAGGCCATCAGCCGTTTTGTTGTTATTTTTTTTATACACCGAAGTTTTATACGAACATGGTCTGTTTGTTTTTGTATTGTCTGGATTTTTTAAAGTGGTTACTACAGAAAGAAGGTAACACAATATACCACAAAAATTAATATTTCTTGATTTTATTTTAGCGATACAGTTTATCAGTAGTTTCTTGTAAGAATTGAAACGTTTTCAAATCCTTACAGACAAAAAGAAAAACAAATCATGTTTTTCAAGTTTACTGAGCCCAGTTTAAAAGGCTTACAATAGCCATTTAACAAGCTCTGCTGTAAAACGGAAAGGTGTTGTTAAAACACTAGTTTATTTCAGCATTATCGTGTTTATTATATAAAGGAACCTCTTAGATATAGTAAGTGGTGGCGCTCCAGGATTCATCTCTACTTCATTTCTACAAGACTTTTTCTTTTTATATACGACTATTATCTTACATTATTTATATGGTAATACAGAAGATTACCAAAAGTAGGCAATGTTAGATATTTATTTTAAAAAATTGTAATATGTTTTCCATTTGAGACGCAGAAAATGTTTCATAACTTTGTTTGAAAATAAGCACAATAAAATAAGTTGTTACAATTGCCAATATATTAGTTTATACTGCCACGTTCCTTCCAAACATGAGCTTTAAGTATAGGTGTGTAAACGAGAGTTTATGTACATATAAAATTAGAATTTACTTCATAATTTACGTCACTAACATGAAAAAGTGTTTCGTTCTGTTATTTAATTTTCAAGAACATTTCTAACTTATTGGTCAGTCTCCAACTCAGCAAATGATAAACGAAGAAATGCTTTTCGAACCAGTTCATAAAGTTCCGTATCCAACTGGTGATACGAGGGTCTTGGGTTCGAGACTTTGCGCTGCCAAAAATTTTTGGACTATTGTAGTGCTCCCACGACCTCAATTTGCGGCTCGCTTTTTTTTTTCATCGCAAAAATTCGTGGACTATTGTAGTGCTCCCACGACCTCAATTTGTGGCGCCCTTTTTTTTCATCGCAATCATTGAACCTTCTCTGACGACTAGTATATATCTTTATTGAATCTTCTCTGACGACTAGTATATATCTTTATTGAATCTTCTCTGACGACTAGTATATATCTTTATTGAATCTTCTCTGCCGACTAGATGTATCTTTATTGAACTTTCTTTGACATCAAGTATATCTCTTTATTAAATCTTCTCTGCCAACTAGATGTATCTTTATTGAACTTGCTTTGACATCAAGTATATATCTTTATTAAACTTTCTCTGCCGACTACTGTATATCTGTATTAAACTTTTTGTGTATGTAATTCTTCCGCTTAACCCTGTTTTTTGTTGTGTTTTTTTCTGCTGCTGAACTTTAAAATTCTTTCCTAAAATCAGTGATATATTACATCAGATTTTTCAACTTACACAACCAATAATGTAGTTGGAAATATAAAAGCCATATTTCTTCGTCACTTCTTTTTTTTTATGTAAGCAACATAGGGTCGTGTACGACTGTTATTATGCACTTAAGTATAAATCATTATTGTAATATACACTTCAGTCAGTCAGTTACACTAAAGCAACAGTTAACAGAATTTAATCAGCGCCATCGTATTTTTAGATAAATTCTGGTATAGCATCTTGATGAGTGACGAATGTAAGAAAATAATTCTGATTGTCAAAGCTATAGCTATTGATTGCTTTAGTTATTACAGACTTTTGTTGCTTGTTTTAAACGAGTTTTGTTGTAGGTTAAATTGTTCTACATGACTGGATACTAATGGCAGTCACACACAAGGAAGTACCTTTATTCCTCGAAAGCAAATGAAAAGTATGACATACTCCAATATTTCCTGGGAGTATTCCTGTGAGCGAAGTTATTTAAACGGTTCAGTAAAACTATCGAGTAGACATTCTGAGAAATACCCCAAAAATGTTCGTTTGTTTGGTCTATAAACGTGATGTTTACACTAAGATTCAATAAAAAAGAACTTTGGGGGTGGGGTGGGGGTAATTTTCGGAAGCGTTATGCAGACCTGCTGACTATTGTTATTTTAATAACTATTTTCAAATGTCATTGTAATATGGAGAAGAAGTTATTTTTTTTAGCCGACGGAATAAAACATCACTCTCATTAAATAATATTTATCCATTAATCTGACATTTATAAAAGGATTACTGTGGTTATTTGTACTCCCTAAAATCTGTAGACTTGATTCCGCTGCATTTTGTCTGTGCCCCTTTAAGGCCACGAAAGAAAAAAATAAGACTGACTATAAATATATTTCTCTTTTGTCAGGGTTATTCTATCGTGATATTAGATTTGAGAATTTGCTAATCAAACAAAACTTGGTGTGGATTTATGTACAGCCCTTCGTATATAGGTTAAATAAATATCGCGGTTCAGAATTGTAACATGGGAAGCTTAAAGTGTTCTCTGTTTCTCGAATACTTCTCCTTTAGAGCACTCATGTTTTGCATAGATTTACAGCAAAAATATGTACAGAACATATGATGTGTTCATAACAAAGTTTTATGATTTAAAGTAACGAATATATGAGGAGTAGATTCCTGTGATCTAGAATAAAGATATTTTCACGACTGGTTTATGATCTACAGCCGTAGCTCATAAATCTGTTATTAAAATATCTTTATTTGAGATCATAAGGCTCTATTTTTCATATCATTGTAGATCATAAACCTATTATGAAATATTATTTAATCTAGATCATAGAGCTCTAATCCTTACATATTTATTACCGTAGCTCATAAATCTGTTATTAAAATATCTTTATTTGAGATCATAAGGCTCTATTTTTCATATCAATTGTGTACATATTCACTCACACTAGATGATAAGTTCTATCTTTGAAATATTCATCACTGCTGATCATAAACCTATTGTGTACATATTCACTCACACTAGATGATAAGTTCTATCTTTTAAATATTCATCACTGCTGATCATAAACCTATTGTGTACATATTCACTCACACTAGATGATAAGTTCTATCTTTTAAATATTCATCACTGCTGATCATAAACCTATGATGAAAATATCTTCATCGGTGTAGATTATAAACAATATTCTAGATCATAAGGCTCTATTCTTTATATATTTATCAATGTATTACATATAACTATTATGAAAATACTTTTATTCTAGATCATAGACTCTACTCTTTTCATATCACTTTAGATCACAAACCAATTACGAAAATATCTGTTGTACATCAAAGGGCTCTATTCTCTATATATCACTTTAGAACATAAACCTGTTATGAAAACAGCTTTATTCTAGATCATAGACTCTACTCTTTTCATATCACTTTAGATCACAAACCAATTACGAAAATATCTGTTGTACATCAAAGGGCTCTATTCTCTATATATCACTTTAGAACATAAACCTGTTATGAAAACAGCTTTATTCTACATCATATGGCTCTATTCTTTACATATTTATCACTGTTGATCATAAATCTAATATGAAATATTATTTAATCTAGATCATAGAGCTCTAATCCTTACATATTTATTAATAGTTTATCATCTAGTTTGAGTGAATATTTACACAATATAGTTTATGATCTAGTGTGAGTGAATATGTACACAATGTAGTTTATAATCTGGTGTGAGTGAATATGTACACAATATAGTTTATGATCTGGTGTGAGTGAATATGTACACAATATAGTTTATGATTTAGTTTGAGTGAATATGTACACAATATAGTTTATGATCTGGTGTGGGTGAATATGTACATAATAGAGATTAGGATCTGGTATGAGTGAATATGTACAAAATAGAGATTGGAATCTGGTGGGGGTGAATTTGTACAGAATAAAGTATATGATGTGATGTGTGTTGAATATGTGAAGTAAATATAAACACAGTAAAGATTATGATCTAGCATGGGGTGAATATGTAGAGAATTGAGTGTTATGATCTGGTGTGTAGTGAAGGTACACATTAAAGGTCATGATGTATGAATATATATGTGTGGTGAATAAAGCTTATAATCTGGTTTGAAGTTAATATGTACAAAATAGAGCTTATGATCTGGTGTAAGGTCTACATGTACAGAATAGATCTTGTGTGTGAATAAAGTTTTGTGTTGACTACAAGGTACATTACACTAATGAGTCATTTGTATTTCAGACTGTGATGAAACTAATGACAAAAGCTGTTTCAAATTTGAACATCTAATGAATGTGATTAGAATTATTTTATTAATTTTATATTTTATGAATATGTTCTGAGTTTTTTTTTACCCTCAGAACAATATATGTGAAAATAATAACTTAAATATATTTCTGTACGAGATGACTGTATTAATATGGTAAATATTTTGGCAAAGCCTGTTTTTCATCTATTATTTGATGAATGTAGCTCTTACATTCAGTCATTAATATTTATTTTCAATCACAGATGACCATTTCCTCAACATCACCTGATAACTATTTTTCAGAAGCGTGTTTTTTATTTTTTAGTATGTGATGAATATGTCTGATGACGATCCCCGGAGAATGGACGAAATGAGGAAGTATGCAGCAATATATGGTCGATTTGACTGCAAAAGGAAACCCGAGAAACCTTTAACACTGCATGAGGTTTGTTGAAATCCACTTTTATAAAACCATAATTTTACTGATTTCCCATTACATACTGTGATTTATCAATGCATGCAATTCACGAAAAATATGAGCTCATTTTATTTCAGGTTCCTTGCTTTCGACATATAACTACTAACTGTTGATCTCAAACACATTACTAATAAATTCCAGATTTACTCACCCTTGATTTCAAACAGACTCCTATTGCATTCTAATGCTACTCATTCTTGATGGCAAACATACAATTATTACATTATAACTTTTCTCACTCTTGATTACAAACAAATTATTATTATTACATTGTAGCACTAGTCACTCTTGATTTGAAACAGATTACTGTTAAATTGTGGCACTAGTCACTCTTGATTTAAAACAGATTACTATTAAATTGTAGCACTAGTCACTCTTGATTACAAACAAATTATTATTATTACATTGTAGCACTAGTCACTCTTGATTACAAACAAATTATTATTATTACATTGTAGCACTAGTCACTCTTGATTTGAAACAGATTACTGTTACATTGTTTTGCTAGTCACTCTTGATTTAAAACAAATTACTATTAAATTTTAGCACTAGTCACTCTTGATTTAAAACAAATTACTATTAAATTGTAGCACTAGTCACTCTTGATTTAAAACAAATTACTATTAAATTGTAGCACTAGTCACTCTTGATTTAAAACAGATTACTGTTAAATTGTAGCACTAGTCACTCTTGATTTGAAACAGATTACTATTACATTGTTTTGCTAGTCACTCTTGATTTGCAACAGATTACTGTTAAATTGTGGCACTAGTCACTCTTGATTTAAAACAAATTACTATTACATTGTAGCACTAGTCACTCTTGATTTGAAACAGATTACTGTTAAATGTGGCACTAGTCACTCTTGATTTGCAACAGATTACTATTACATTGTTTTGCTAGTCACTCTTGATTTGAAACAGATTACTGTTAAATTGTAGCACTAGTCACTCTTGATTTAAAACAAATTACTATTACATTGTAGTAGTCACTCTTGATTTAAAACAAATTACTATTACATTGTAGCACTACTCACTGTTGATTTGAAACAGATTACTGTTACATTGTTTTGCTAGTCACTCTTGATTTGAAACAGATTACTGTTAAATTGTAGCACTAGTCACTCTTGAGTTGAAACAAATTACTATTACATTGTAGCATTACTTACTCTTGATTTAAAACGAATTACTATTACATTGTAGCACTAGTCACTCTTGATTTAAAACAAATTACTATTACATTGTAGCACTACTCACTGTTGATTTGAAACAGATTATTGTTACATTGTTTTGCTAGTCACTCTTGATTTGAAACAGATTACTGTTAAATTGTAGCACTAGTCACTCTTGATTTCAAACAGATTACTGTTAAATTGTAGTATTACTTACTCTTGACTTAAAACAAATTACTATTACATTGTAGCACTATTCACTGTTGATTTGAAACAGATTACTGTTACATTGTTTTGCTAGTCACTCTTGATTTGAAACAGATTACTGTTAAATTGTAGCACTAGTCACTCTTGATTTCAAACAGATTACTGTTAAATTGTAGTATTACTTACTCTTGACTTAAAACAAATTACTATTACATTGTAGCACTAGTCACTCTTGATTTGAGACAGATTACTGTTACATTGTAGCATTACTTACTCTTGATTTAAAACAGATTACTATTACATTGTAGCACTAGTCACTCTTGATTTGAAACAGATTACTGTTAAATTGTAGCACTATCCACTCTTGATTTGAAACAGATTACTGTTAAATTGTAGCATTACTTACTCTTGATTTAAAACAGATTAATGTTACATTGTATCACTAGTCACTCTTGATTTGAGACAGATTACTATTACATCTTAGCACTACCCACTCTTGATTTGAGACAGATTACTATTACATCTTAGCACTATCCACTCTTGATTTG